TGCTGATAACTAACACAGAACAAATGGTTTTATGAATCGATATGATAAAATAATCGATCAGCAGAAACCGTAAAAACATATACAGATATAAAGCGACTTATGTAGATATGTTTGTACATATATGTATGTAGGTATCTACATACAGGTGTTCTTCAGATTGGCGTTATCTGCTTCACAACGACTACCAGAATGGATTATAACGTAGTCTCACTGAGCATTTAATTAAACGATTCTACTGTAAATTAATGATCTAGGTGCTGACTGCTTTTCATGCGTTTCAATTTCACGATAGAAATGTGTCAGAAGTGCTTGCTTAGGGCAATCCAATAAGATTTTTTCTGCTTCTATATCGCAAAGGTAGTCACTTGTTTATCTGTCTAAAATATAGAAAAAATGCATTTTAAAACAGAAGTAAATACTTGGGTCCAAGAGACCCGCATGCTAAGCAAAGGTTAAATCGCAAGGAAATGTGCCTATGTCTTCTTTGGGCTGCGTCAAATGTCAAACAAACTTACAATTTATCTGCTTTCGTAGTATTTTGTTGTGATAATGACACAACCGATTTATATCATTCAAACAGTTGTGAAAACATGCTGTTAGCTGTGAGTAGAAATCTATTTACAGTTTCACACCATGCACTTACATATTTACTACTAAATTATTATAATTTTTTTTTTTAATTTTTAGAATATACATTTGTAGTTTGAACACACACAAGTGTTTTGCATTTAAAAGTGCGAGTACTTTAGTTATTAGTTATCATACTTAACCAAAGCACATCGCTAAAAGCAGAATTTTTCCTCTAAACACATTTTATTGCTTTTGCAAAAATATGAAAATGCGATTTTCCCCCCTGTGCAAATATTTGCAGACACAAAACAGTACTCAACTTGTTGAGCTGAAATATGTAGTACATATGTAGCTATAACGAAGCAATATGTATGTAGATACATACATACACTCGTGGCCCGATAATTAGAAACAATTTTTGTTTTATTAGTTTTAATTTATTTTTTTTTTACAACAACAAAAGTCATAAAACTCAAAGTTTCAAAT